AAGTTTTGTCATATTTCATATGATATGTTGCATCAGAATTCAAAATCCAACATGTATTTGCCATTGTAATAACACAAAAGATAGTAATACACGACAATCACACTAATACACGGTAATTGCAGCAAGCTTCACAGCAGAACTTGTAGATACTGCAGCAAAACCAATACAATAACACGACAAACAACCAAAAAGAACAAAGCAATATGCTGCAATTTCCAGGTAGCAATAAGAAAAAAACACACAAGAACAGCAAGAAAAACCCATACAACACAGCTCTTACACGAGCAAATTACAAAAACTACAGATAAGAGCTGTGTAAGAGCTGTGTTGAATGGTGATGTAGGCAGGGGTTTTCGAGGATTACAAATAATCTTCGGTTTTTTTTTTCTTCAGATTTGGCGAGCATTTGGAATAACTAGTGAATTTAATTTTTTATGTGTAAGAAGTCATTTATACTGCCACTTAGTACTACGATCTAATGGTATTCCTCTTCACTTGTAAGTAAAAGGTCTTAGGTTCGATTCTCGTTAAAGGCAAGTTTGAACCACATTATCCTTAGCTCATTGTGAGGCTAAGCTCACATCCTTCTCTTAATATAGATAATATCGTTTGTTCATAAAAATAAAAATAAAAAGGTCATTCATACTTGTTTATAAATCACATGGACACTTAAACAATAATAACTCAATTAAATCATAAAATGAAAAGTTTATAAACGCTAATTGCAAATAAAGATACATGGATCCTTTCAAGTAAGGAAACACGTAGGTAGTTTCTTTTTGTTGTGCAAATGATTCAATTACCAACCACAATATATGAATGAAGATTCATTGCTCCATCTTCCCTTTTCTCCCTCTATAAACACTATATTTTAAATCATTATAAGTAGTATCTGAAGAACTCAAATCCTCACTCTCACTTAACTGGCATACACTGTACTTTTTCCGTACCTTTCATATCAGTGAAAGGGACATATCTAATAATGAAATCCGCGTTAAAAGATGTAGGTCAAGCTCTGAGGAGGCAGGGGCCACTTTGGTTGATGCCAAAGTGTCATATGACCAAAATAGTTAAAGATCCCAATGTGTTGGTTTGATATATTGACGTTGCCAGAGATTGATTGATCAATACAAGCTTTGGTTGTAAATGGTTGAGGCTCTTTGGCCGGGGAGGAGCGTTGCTATAGCAACCCTTTTTCTCTATGCGAATAAGATTGACAAACTAATATTTTTTTTGGATCACATGTTAGTTTAGATAACGAGAGACAACTATCTAATTCATTGATTATGTTATATGTTATTTGTGTGTCGTTTGAATATATGATCTCGATTCACAATTTGATTCTCAACAACATAAGTTGAAGAAGATAATAATAAACTATAATAACATATAAAAAGGAAAAGAGATAGGGTAAGGAAGAGGGATGAGCATATACGAAAGTGTAGTGACCAGATCCAAGTGATGTGTACTTAAAATCTAAATATATGAAGAATCAAATCCCTTGTTTTGGTATTGACTCGAAAGTTCGAGGAAAAGGTCCATGGCATCAAGATTCAATCAAGAACCGTACCATCCCCACCCCACCCCCCACCCCCTTCTGCAGAGCTTCTCTCTATTGATAATACTAAATTGATTAAATTTGGAGAAAAAATATGTAAATTAAATGATGTATTATCAATAAAAATAAATATGTTTAACAACATTTAAGTAATAAACCAATCATCATTTTCTATATCCTTTAATTTTTCAATTATATATATAAATTTAATCTCCTAACATTATCATATATATATATATATATATAATTATCTTTGGATTACGTAAAATGGATAAAAGTTTGGTGGCTGTGTTTTGTGGGCACCAAAATTAATTATAGTCCTCTGAGTCACAAAACATGTTGACATCTAATCATATTACAGCTAGCAGCTATAAGTTTGATGAGCTATGCATAATAATGCATGCACAGCTTCACGTAGTGACTTTCAGCATGTCAGATTCGACCAAAAAAGCATGTCATATACCTACTCTATCTATCTATGATCTATCCCAATCTCTATAGATGTTGACATGAGAGGCTTTTTAAACCTAAAGTATTTCCCATTCCTGTTTCAACCCCAATGGTCCATATGACGCGTCATTCGCATTTGGATCCCACACTCATCGAACGGTTTATATAGCGTGATACGTTCAGGCGCGCAGCGGGTAGTGATTACGGTTTGTAATCTTTCTCTCTATCTTTAGCGGTAGTCAAATTTTGATTTGATGGCATTTTAATAGATTTTAAAATCAGAATGTAATCAATTACGAGTTTAATGGTGGATTTTAAAAGATTTTAAAATCAGATGTAGACAAATCAGGATTTGAGAGGATTTAAAGAATACATTCAAATCTGAGTAGTCAATTAAAATTTTAAAAAGTCCATACAAATCTAAGTGTAGTAAGAATGCTAAAGATTTGCTAGGATTTTGGTGGACGAAGGATTTTGATGAATTTGAGGATGGGTGGTATACATACCAAATGCCATCAACAATCCAACACTTTCCCATCTGATTTCTTTTCACGCCGAACCATAAAAGATGAATTGTCCTAGCATGAGTTCCAAGCATTCCCCACTAAACTCGCATTTCGCATTTTTGCTATATTTTTTTTTTTTCTGCATTTGGTCTGTTCCTCTGGGAAGATGAGTAACAATTGGAACATGATTTTTCTGAATTGGGATTTTATCTTCTTTTTTTTTTTTTTTTTTTTTTTCCTCTTTGCCTTGTAATTCGTGCTCTTTCAACTTCTCATTTGCAATTTTTTTGGGGGTGTCAAAAAGAATTTAAATTATCAAAACTGGAACAATTTTTTGGTGGGTTAGATGAATGCAATTGAAAAATTTTGGGTTTTTCATTGATCTGGATTCAATATGTGAAAATGGCAATTGAGTTTGTTTTTGTTTAATCAAAAAGTGGAAAAAAATTATTTTTCGGGAATTCCCTTTACTGGTTTGGTGAACTAGGGTATGCAATTTTGGCCTACAAGCTGTTTGTTTAAATGCCTCAAAGAAGTATTTGATGAATTGGTTGAGTTTTTTTTCCTCCGCCTTTCGTCTAATGAAGTTTCTGTTGGTTTTAATTGCTTTTCGTATAATGTGTGTAATGTTGTGGCAATTTTTTACATGAATTTGATACTGTTGAGATTTTGGGTCGATATGTTATGAGATGTGATTAGATAAAAATTGGGGAAGAAATATATTAGCCATTTGTAACTTTGATAAAAATCCATGAAAAATGTCCACACAAATCCTAAGAAATCCATGAAAGAAGTTCATACAATCCATAGAAATCTATTGTGGAAATTCATATAAATCTTTCAAAATCCATATAGAATTGTAGAATTTATTAAAATTCTTTAAAATCTGTCCCTTAACAAAATCTATTAAAATCCTGTGAAATCCAAATTGACTACACCTCCTTTAAACTATGGACTAATCTCTGGTGTATAATTTTTCTGCATCATTGAGTTTATTCTTCGGTTTGTAAATAATATTTGAAGTAGAATGAATCTATATAAATGCTTTGGTGTATAGTAGAAATTAAAGAATGAAGATTTATATTCTGCAAAAGGCATCCGTGAAGTAAAATCCTCACTCCACTACTGTGCTCATCAACGATTTTTGATAGCATGATGCACCCGCATGCAACTGATCTGAGGCTTGAAAAGCTCCCTACCCTAGTACATAATGTGAGGTTTTGGAGCGTTGGAGCTATAAAACGACCACAAACAACCATCAATATACCTCAAGTGGTGAAGTGCATTTATTCATACACCCTTATATTCAAGGGAACTTTAACGAAAAGCTTCCGGTACTGTTCATTTTAACGAAAAGACCATATTTATACACTAAAAAGTCAATTCTGGTATTATTCACTTTACCCTTTATTTTGTCCTTATCGGTAAAACTCAAAGTTTTCAAACTCTTTAATTAGTTTCCTTATATTCAATTCTCCTCAGCTCTCTCAGACTCGTTTGTATAAAAACTTAACTTAGTACGGAAATGCAATTAAAAAACATAGTTAAGGACTCAATATAGTAAGCACAAAGAAACCAAGTGCATGGCCAGACATACAGGCTTGACAAAAACGACTTTTCTCCCGACTTTTATTTAGTATATCTTCTTCTAATCATTGTATAATCTCAAGAGTAAAAGGGATGATCCAGTCAAAAGTCTACTGTTTAATTACCCTTAAATTAGTGATATTTCGGTTTAACTTGCAACAAGTGACTATAATTAACGATTAAGAGAGATCTTGAACAATTCAATTCACCGTTTTATGACATGAGGCATGACATGCACATAGCTTAATTAAGGATTAATTATGTTAACCAACGTCATCTGCTACCATTTGCCTATATAATCCAAGTCCAGTCCTAATTATATTATACATGCAGACTTGATAGCAGTATGCGTACCAATACCATTGAACACAAAATAAACATACCATACTTCACTACAACATAAGCAGTAATGGAACGGTTACTTACTTCGGAATAAGAAGTCATAAATCGTACAAGTCAAAATATGTTAAAGAAGCAACAAGTATGAGATCTACTACCTCTCGTTATCTAATTTCTAACTCTTCGTGTATTAAATTACGGATTGTATTGTATAACCCTAATACATGTTGATCCCATGTTGTAGTATACACAATGAGAAGTCATGTATCAAAATAACTCTATGAAAAAAGAACGGGGATAGGATGTAGAGGCAGAGTCTTAGCTGAAGTTAATGAAGGACAAAGAGTAGTATTACGAAGAATAAAATAAAGGATTAAGTAACTAAAATCTACTAATCTTTCAATGTCATTCTAAATTGGTCTCAACTTTTTTAAACATTCAAACAAGTACCTAACGTATTGAAAATGTCACACCCTTGAAGCCCCAATTAAATTTCAGTTAAATTAACTGGGGCTTTCTTTGTTAGGAGATTACACATTCGTAGAACTAAAGCATATGTGTTCCATTTTAAGGTGATAAGTGCCATCTATTAATTTGTGAACTCTAATTCTAATTTATACAACGTTCCAAGGAACGTACAATAATGTCATTACAGCAATACACATGCAAAGAAGGTCCAGTGCCAACTAAAATGGCGGCTCCTGGACTTTTATTCGGTGTCCGCAATTTATAAAGCTTACTATAAAGTTTGTAAATCTGTTAAATCATCACTTAACCTTTCAGACGGCCCCAAGTATAAATCCACCTTTGCGTCCCCCCGAGTGCAAAACGCCCAGAATGGTGCAGCACTGCCACCATGTCAAGTCTAGCATATGATAATTGTCCTTTCCATTTGATACTGAGAGTGGCTATTGAGATGTTTGCTCAAAGGAACTCAAAGCACTGATTAGAGATTCATAAACTTTTATGCCTTTCAAGAATACGGTATCCTTTAGGTGCTGCAAAAAAAAAAAAAAAAAAAAAAAAAAAAAGAGACGTTGGAGTCAGGCAAAGAAAAGATATTCATGATAAGTTCATGCTAAAGAGATTGGTCAAAACATCGAACCTCATTATGGTCATGAAGTAAGATAGGAGTATTTGTCATTGGGGAAAAACCAAGCGCAGGAATGCCCTGCTGCCTCATGAATCGTGCATCGGTAGTTGATGTCAAAATTTCAGGCTTCGCAAGTTTCCCTCCAGCTGATTCGATAGCTTGTTTGAAAACAGACCACCATGGATTGGAATCATCAGTTGCTGTTGCTAAAGGGCGGCCCATAAAATCTCTAGTTGGTCCTTGATCAAGTAGCTGCCATGCCATAAAAAGGAATAAATGAGACATTTCCCACTTTTACTCCCACTCGTTGCAGATGGCATGCAGAGGAAATGAAGAGTACATACAGATTAAAGTAAACAATGACAGCATAATGGTCACCAACAACATATTTGAAAACAAAACCTTGTATTTTGGGTTCTAACAAGCTTATATGTATTGAATTCATGAGATCTCATCAAATAAGATGGCAAAAACCACACTTGCAGAAAGACAAATGCTTGCTTATTATGGCCATTCACCAGCCATACCATGATAGATCAAGCTAGCCACAGAAAGAGTGTAAAATTGGTATTGAATGCACAAGCTACGATAAGTTTTGTAGTGCTTGTTCTGCATCCAAATCAAAATCAAGCACCTTTCGTAATTTGATGTCTAACTTTAATTCCAATTCCCAAGTGAAAAACCTGAGACATGGTTGTTCACTATGACTAAAGATGACCACAAGGGATGAACTGCTTGAATTTCATAGTCAAAATATGGTTTAAAATGGCCAGCATAAAAGATAAATAATCCAATACATTCTAAAACTTCTATCTATCCAATACCACAAAACTGCAAGGCGTATATGTAGATAAATGCTATTACCATTACAAACTAATCGCTTGCATGCGGGGTTCCTCCTCTAATCTGATTCACACAAAACTACAAGATATGTACTTTCAGTAAACTTGTTTAACTATATGCAGGGTGTAATAATCAACAACGGAATTAGAAATCAGCTCATCTACAGTATCCCTAAAAAACTAACGATTAACACATTCGGATACACAAAAAGTCTCCAATCCTATAAAATTTCACATTATACTAAATCAATAAAGACACTGAAAATCCATGCGCAAAATCAGAGGACACAAAGGCTCACTTGGTAAGTCAAATTCCTTGATGCCGGCGCCCATTCCTCAGCAATCCTCTTCCTAAGAAGCTCCGGGTCTGCAGTAGGCGGGATTCGTATATTAAACCCTGCTTCCGCCTCCGAAGGTTGCATATTCATCACAAACCCCTACACAGACAATCAAACAAGCACCTTGTCATCGTCAAAACACCAAAACACCCATTAATTACACACACATTCAAAGCACAATCAGCAGATTCAGTAATTCAAACTCACATCGCCGGAAGCAATCCCAGCCTTCAAATAAACAGGATTGACCGAAATAACCTCCGAAATCGCCGCATTGCCGGCTTTAACCTCGTCGAATTGGGCCTCCCTGAACCGAGTCATAACCTCCACGCTCTTCATCAAATTCTCCATCGCTCCGTTATCGTACAATCTCGAACCGTGTCCCGGCGTCCCCTGTGCCTTCACGATCAAATTCCACGGCGTCCGATCGGCGTAGAAAACCCTAAACTCGTCGCCGGGATTAGCCTGACCTTCGTCCAACATAAACCCCACATTCAAATCCTGAAATTGCTTGGAGGCGGCGAACTTAGCGGCGCCGTCAAGGCCGCCGATCTCCTCGTCGGGGACGAGGGACACGTGGACTGTGCGGATAGGGGTGAAATTGGCGGCCTTGAGGTTGCGGATGGCCTCGAGGTACTGGATGGCGATGCACTTGTCGTCCTGGGCGCCGCGGGCGAAGATGAGGCCCTCCGGGGTGCGGTGGGCGGAGAAGGGAGGGTGGGTCCACTTGTCGGGCTCGGCGGGGACGGAGTCTAGGTGGGAGTTGAGGAGGAGGGAGGGGAGAGAGGGGTGGGACCCGGGCCAGGTGAGGAGGAGGAGGGGCTTGGATTTGGACGGGGTGAAATGGAGGGTCTGGATTTGGAGGTTTAGGGTTTGGGCGATGGCGGTGAGGAAGGCGACCGGGGCGGCGTAGTTTGGGTTGGGGTGGGCGGTGTTGATTCGGAGGTAGTTCTGGAAACGGCCGACGGGGGTGTCGTTTTGGCGGTCGGGATGGGCCCCGGTTGCGGCGAGTAGGTGGAGGAGGAGTGTGAGGAGGAGAGGGTTGGACATGGTGGCGGATGTGGCGGCTGTTACGGTTTGTACTTGCAGTTCAGCTCACTGCCACACTTCAATTCGGTTTGGGCTGTTGTGCTGTGTCTACGGTCCAATTACAATTTTTTTCTTTTTCCTCCCTACGGGACTCTCTGGTTTCTTAGAGATATGATTTGAAAGTCAATCTTGAGAACAAACATTTCAAGATAATGTCTAAATGCAACAAATAGGCAAAGTCACTCATTCCGAGTATCTCAATTATATGTTTAGATAGTGAATCCATGGGCAATGGATTGATGACAGAAGTAATTTAAAGATGTTTAGACTGCAGAGATCTTCTTTATATAATCATAATGTCTTAAAGGTTTTTGGTCATAGGATTGTCAGAGGGATGTTGACAAACCGGATAGACCAGTATGTACTATGTCTGCTTAAATGAGAATGATGAAAAGTCTTAAGCCATTCGCGTAGGGACACTGAGACAAGTACGTAGATGCTCGTTAAGGGAATGAGCCCACTAATACAATCAAATGAGACTTGCATGGAGGTCTACTCACATGTCAAGCAAGTAACTTTACTGGTTGAAATAATGTAAGTAGTCATTTGACCAGAGACATCATAGTTGTCTTGGAGATACGTTGCTGATCATTTGACAATGAAACGTGATCATATCTCACCTTGGATGTGCTATATACATTGTTGGGGTCAGAGAATTATTCTCAGAGGCATGTGAATGTTCAATTCCTCATTATGTGAGGATGAAGACTCTAAGATGTGATTCGGAAATCTTCAGTTGGAGTATCAAGCGTAATGAAGGAGGCATTCATATACGACTCAATTGAATCATATAAGATAGTATAATCATATAAGGTTTGACATAAATTATCCATAAACTGGTAAATGATTGAGAGTATTGAATTGGAGAATGATTGATTACATTGTAATTCCAATTGAATAAGTTCTCTGACCAAATTCTACATTAGCTTGGGTAGCCATGATCTATGTCACTCGTGGCCTGTGAGTCCTTCTTAATGGTTAAATAAGTAATCATCAAAGTAGAAGGAGAATTAAAAGTAAGTTTTAGTTTATTAAGGGTGTATTTGTTGCACATGACTATCTTGGACTAGACTAACTTCAGGAACTAAGTTGAACTAATGTAGTGAAGTGTTTAGTGCAGTATCAGAGGCTTGTGAGTCCTTGAAACAAAATACTACTTTTTAATCCTTGAAAAACTACACTCAGCTCCCCCTGAGGCCTAATCCTTAAACTTGACCAAATAATCCTTAATTTGATCAGATAATCCCTAATTTCTTCAAAGTTACAACCAATCACCACACATGAAATTCAAGGAAAAATTTAAAGGACAAAAAGGAAAATATCTGCAAATAATTGAGAAGTATATTTCATGGAACTTCAAGGAATTTTTTTGCAGAAATTGAAGGAACTATTTTTTTACAAGAAATTCAAGAAACGTTTTTGCAAGAATTCAAGGGATGAAAAATCTTGCAAAAAAAAACAAAAAAAAAAGGATGTTAATTTCACAGAAAATACTTGTAAAAAATAAAAGGAATCTAAGGGAAAATACCTCTAATTGAAGAGAGCATTCAACCTTGAACGTAGCCGTTGAAACATTCCAATTGGAGAGAGCTTTCCAAGTCCGTGGATTCAATCAGAGATGCAAGTATGTGAAGCGGCAGAACCAACCTACTGTGATGCCTGGCGAGCTAACTGGTGACGAGTCAGGGTTTGTGGAATTGGGGAAGCGAGAGACAACGATGGCTTGGATTTTTTGGATTCTTTTCAGTCAAACCTAATATTACAGACTTGGAGATCTTCTGAGATGGAAAAGAGGGAGGAGGAGAGAGAGGGAAGGCAAGTTATCGTTTGAAGACTCATGCTTGGGGCGAAGCAACACAAAGAACAGAAACGGAACTACGAATCCCTCATTTTTTGTGGCTCTTGCTAAGCCCACCTAGCGAAGGATTTAGTCAACACGAGTCCGGCTTAATCCCATTAAACATAATCCTAATTTGCACCACACACATGACTACTAATTCTAGCTAAGTAGTCCAGTCTAGTGAAGCTTAAGGTGGCTAAATAAACACGCCCTAAGATCATCTCCAACTCTTGGGGTTAAAACTTAAAATTTTTAACAAAAAAAATTTAGGTTTTAATCCAGAAACAACTTTTCTCCTTCAACCCTTATGGGTTAAATTTTTAGCCCTAGATTTTAAAGAATGAATTTAGGATATTTTTTTTTTCTCTTAAAGTAACTTTAAAAAAAAAAAACATAAATTATGTAGACTATCCTAATTTAATTTTATTAACATTTTAATTTAAAAATATTTAAATTCTAATAAATATTGAAAAATCACTAAACCGACTACATGAAACTCGTGAAATACTATGAAAGAATATGAACACATAATTTATTTATTTATTTTTTTTATAATTACCTTAGTCGTTGAATTTAAATTTGGACCGTTAGATCTTTTTTTTTTTTTTTACTGTTGGATTTGATCATATTTGATCTTAGCCGTTGGATTTAATGAAATTATAAATGTAAAACTAAAAAAAGTACACATATATGGTGGCCCAGCCCTAATAACTCGACACTAATCTGGGGGAATCTTGGGCTAAATTTGTCCCATAAATGAGTTCTAGGTTAAAACTCATATTTACCGCAAGGGTTTGGAGCAAGTTGAGTTAAGTTTAGGACCTAAAATTTAAGTTTTACTCCAAGAGTTGGAATAAGTCTAAGTGATTGTATAATAGCTAATCAATTGGATTGATACCAATCACCTCACTACCTCACTAATTGGAACCTAAAAAACTATACACTGATACACTCATGTGGTGAGATAGCTAAAGAATGATGGAATTAATTAAATAGATTGATAAGTGTTATGATTAATTAGAAAGTCTAAATATACTATAGAAGCAATGAAACATTGCATTTAGGCTTAAAGGAAGCTTGAGTTCCTTTAGGCCCATTGAGCCCAAACCTATTGGATTTTTATTTCAAGCATGAGATGACTGGAAATGAGAAAAGCCCAAGCCAAGCCAAACAAAGAGGTTAGCCATAAGGGTGAGGAAAAGAGAGAGGGAAGTCAATCATTTGCAAAATTTATCGTAGCTTACTCATTTATTTGCAAATTGCTTTGTAGTTTTTATGCGGATTTTTCGTTGTTGTTCAGTTCTTCTTTTGTTTGAGTAATGTTTACTAGTAGAAAGCACACATTTTGTGTGTGTGAACAATGTCCCACCTCTTCCCACGTTCTCCTCAAGCGCAACCGCTTCAATTCATTCAAACTATCCAAAAAACATCATAATTTCACTTACATGTATGAAAAAATGATGGTGGGACAATTTCTCTTATTAAGTGCATATTTTTATCTTATGTAAATATTTTGATACAAAATTACTATTTTGCTCTCCTTATGTAAATATTGTGGATCAAAAGTGAGGGCAAAATAGGAAAAAGGGTATGATTGTCATTTTGTCAAAAGGTACAAAATTACTATTTTGCCCTCCTCATCTCAACATTATGTATTAAAAAATGAGGGGCAAAATTGGAAAAAGTGGGGTAAAAAGGTTGACATGGTGTGTTCTCTTAATATATAGTATAGACATATATGTGTGTGTGTGTGTGTGTGTGTGTGTGTGTGTGAATATGCATGTACCCTCGTCATAGCTTATTCATTTCATATATACAATGGTGTGTGTGTGTGTGAATATGCAGGTACCCTCGTCATGGCTTATTCATTTCATATATACAATGGATATCATATTGTTGGATGTAGACACCAACAAATTTCATGTTATTCTATGTGTTCTCATTATTATACTACAAACTCTTTGGTCATTGCGTATGCAGAAGCTATATGGCCAGTTGGTGATAATGTGCGTAAAAGAAATGTCCTACCACCAATTATACGAAGAAGATATGGTAAGCCCAAAGAACAGAGGGTGGAGAATAAAAATCAACTCGGAAGTCTTTAAAATGTGATTCAAATGTCCATAATTAACGAACTTGTAGCAATCTCGTTCAACTTCATTCTACTTTGTAGAACTCTTTTAAATTTGGAGTGTAATGAATAATTTTTTTTTTCTCATTTTATTGTCCACTCTTGTAGTTCACTTGCTGCTATATGAATATAGTATGTTGTTCCTAACGTTTTGTGGTATGTTGGCCTTCTAGAGTCATAACAGATTAAATTTCTTTATGTTAATTCCTAGCAGGATAATAACAAGAGATTTGACCAAGTAGGATGTTAATACCCCTTTCTTTGATTATTTAAGAAAAAATGAAATTGAGAGAAACCGATGGTCTTCGTTTGACAAAGAAAAGAAAAATATTGGTGAGAGCAACACGTGATTATGGTACAAGAATCTTTTAATCAATAATTGGTTATTCGTATAATTTGAAGGTAGTTCTATCTATTTAAGTGATATTTTGAATAAAATTGAAAATTTATTTTTTTTTTATAAAAAAAAATGAGAATTTTAAGTTTAAGAGTTAATTTTTAGCTATTATTTATAAATTCTGAATTTCAGAGTCAACCTTTCATTTTTTCTTAACAAAATTTAAGCAAGCAACTGAAAAAGAACACATTCATCCATCCAAAATGGTAATGTCACATCCCGGCCGGGGCCCCCACCACAACCCGGGCTCGATCCACCACCGTAGCACGATATTGTCCGCTTTGGGTTTACCATTCCCTCACGGTTTTGTTTTTGGGAACTCACGAGCAACTTCCCAGTGGGTCACCCATCATGGGATTGCTCTAGCCCCCTTCTCGCTTAACTTCGTAGTTCCTACGGAACCCAAAGCTAGTGAGCTCCCAAAAAACCTCGTGCTAGGTAGGGATGAGAATATACATATAAGGATCACTCCCCTGGACGATGTGAGATGTCACAATCCACCCCCCTTAGGGGCCCGACGTCCTCGTCGGCACACACGCAGCCAGGGTTAGGCTCTGAGCCCGGGACGGATCACTTCCCGGGCCCGCTCCACCATCGTAGCACGATATTGTCCGCTTTGGGCTTACCATTCCCTCACGGTTTTGTTTTTGGGAACTCACGAGCAACTTCCCAGTGGGTCACCCATCATGGGATTGCTCTAGCCCCCTTCTCGCTTAACTTCGGAGTTCCTACGGAACCCAAAGCCAGTGAGCTCCCAAAAGGCCTCGTGCTAGGTAGGGATCAGAATATACATATAAGGATCACTCCCCTGGGCGATGTGGGATGTCACAGGTAAGCAAACATAGTATGTACTTGATACCAATATATTATATTCTAAATAAATATTTGGCATACATTGTCTCAACGAGTTCTTCTGTTGATTTGAACAGAACTTATATTATTACAGCATACTTTTGAAGTAGTTCACATTTTCGTACGACCACTAAAAGTCCTATAAAACTATTTGTATATGTAACTTACAGTTAAAATTGCTCCTAATTTTTTAAACCCTAAATTTATTTTTTGTATTTCTGTTGACCTTGACAAGAATACAATGAGATCAAAATTAAAATTGAAAATCCCACTTACAATTGTGTGGATTCCAATGGAGGCAGCTATTATGTGATAAAAATAACAGAAATTTTTTAGACTAAATTACACAAAACTACTTTAATTATGGGTCGAACCATAATCTCATACCTCATGTTTTAAATATTGCAATGTCATACCTCAACTTATGAATTCGTTGAAATGTCATACCTCCATTAAGTTTTTTGTTAATTTGTCTGCTAAATGATAATGTGGCAGGAATGGGGTCCACTTATTCCCCACGTCATCATTTAACAGCCAAATTATTAATGTTTATTAATTTTAATATAAATTATTAATTTTTATTCATAAATAAATAAATTATTAATTAGTTAAATTTGTATTCTAGTTGGTGAAGGAGTGGGCTCAGCTCCTGTCATGTCATCATTTACTAGTCAAATTGACAGAAAACTTAATGGAGGTATGACATTATAACGAATTCAGAAATTGAGGTATGAAATTACAATGTTTAAAATATGAAGTATGAGATTGTGGTTCGACATATAATTCAGGTAGTTTTTTGCATGGGCTAGGCCGATTCACTGAATTAGCCAGAACAAGGTCCGGCCCAAAAAAATTGGCAGCCTCCGGTGCAGAAGACCAGAGAATTGGGCCTGTCCCATTTTGCTAAGAATTTGTAAGCATGGCCATTGCAGCAGTGGCGACGGCGACAATGGCACTGGCAGCAAGGCCAGCCTCGAATTTGTTCCTAACACCACACAGGGTGGGTCTTCACCCCTTTTGCCGTTTCTTCTTCTTCTTCAAAGCCTTCACAAGCACTCATTCTCTACTCGAAGTCCGGAAGCTGTTTGTGCGATGGCCTCAAAGAAAAACTTCAGGCCGCTTTCTTACCTTCCGGCCCTGATTCCCTCCACGATGTCGATTTGCAAGTAAACCCACCAAGTTTTTTTTATTTTTTATATTTTTATTTTTATTTTTTTTCTCTAATAACATTTCTAATCTCAAGCTTTTGGTTTTCTCTGGTTTCAATGGAGTTTGCTGTGTTGGGTTTTGCTCAGGTGAGCGATATTACGAGCAATCCAGAGTGGGAAAGTGCTTACCTGTATGAGATACCAGTTTTGGCCAGAGTGTTATCTGATGGCACCGAGGTTAGTTTCTTCCATTTAGTTTGTTGGGTTGGCTTTAATTTCAAGATTAATTTGTGCAATGTGCTGGTTTTGCATTGGAAAAGCTTACAAATACAGTAATTTATTTGTTCTACTAAGTGAGTTGGAACTTAAACTTTATTATTGTTCGAACAGAATTCAGGGAATTTTCCAAGTTGAGGAACGCCACTTAAGTAAAGAAATATTTAAGCTAAAACATTGAACTTCTGATCATGACCAGAGACCTTTTTTTATTTTATTTTTTTTGTGTGTGTAAAGGATGCATTAAATCTATGCAAAACAGGCATATGAAGCTGTCGTACTGAGTTTATTCGGGGATTTTTAGAATAAACGAAGAAACTGAAATCACACAAGCACTCAAAACTTAATCACAAGTTTTGAATTTACATAGCACGTACTACATGTCCGTAGTCCAATATAGTAATGTGTTGCCTCACCAAATATCACAAGCATTGCAAATACGGGAAGCTATCCTGCCCGGACACATACCTATGGCTGATTTGGTTTCAGCGATCCCAACAGAGGTTAGCTCGGGCTGTATAAGGGTTGAGGTAACTGTTAAGCCTGATAGGCTGATCCATATCATAATATGAAGCCTACTTCCAAAGTAGACTACTTTCCTTTTGTACATATTTTATTATTACTTGAATTTCTTGTCTTAATATCATTGTTCAACTTATCTTATTTTATTTAGTAATATAAAGTGTCTAATAAACAAATATGTTTTGATAATGCTACCTTTTATCAAATTACTGTATCCTTTATGTTGCATTTGCTTTCATAGTAGTTGTCCATTAACCTGGCGCAATTAGTGAAAGGTTTGATGCCCATCATGACGCCAAAGACAGATTTAATATCTTGCTATTGACACTGAATGGTTGAATCAATTTTTGTTGATGAAGCTATTCTTCGGATGGGCTCCAGAATGCAGTCATTTGAGAAACAATTAAGATGGCATTCAAATAAGATGATTTTAATGTCTGTATGTTGTGTGAATGTCTATGATTTGATGAATCTCATAAATTTGTCTATCCTGATGATTAAAATTTTTTGGAATCATATGGCTGAAAGGAATGGACATCCCATGAAACTTTTTGTAAAGTTATCAAGTGGACCATTTCATATGATAGTCCGTTGTGTCATGGATTGTGAGCTAGCCCCGTTTGGTTAAATGCGGAGCTGAGTGATTGGTAATGTAATTTGTAAATGCTACCTAAGATTCGTTGTCTTTGTTTTTTGTTTGTTTTGGAACTTTGGTCTAATGAACTTGTTTGCACAAAAACTGCTTTCAATACCAGCTGATTGATTAGATGCTGAAGTGGTGAAACCAATTAATCTTCGTTATGATTGATTAAAATTGGCTTAGGCTTCGTATGCACATGCAACAATCATATAATGTGTTCCATTACCCTTTGATAATTTTCTTACTTTTGAATCGATGTGTACACACCCTTATCCTTTTCATATTTTATGTAGTTGGTGCTCCCAGAGTACATACTACTTTTTCTAATCAATTTCTAAAGGGATTATTTTCAAATATCATTCTTCGTTTTTGCTTTCTTGCTTTTCTTTTTTCCCGCTGCTGTGAACTATCTTGTGACACATTTGATTCTTACTCTAGATGCCTACCGATGGATGCAGATTCTCTTTGCTGTCGGTTGTCTCAAATATTTTTTTTTCCCCTCTGTTTGTTGTAAGATCCATGATCAATTTTTTTCAGTAATAGCTATCTGATTAGGGTTCGCTTTCTTCCCTGTGCTGTTGTGCATGATTGCGATGATATGGCTTTAGTTGTTAGTCTCTTTTCAAGATATATATATTTTTTGCTTCGAGTATCAAGAAATTACTTTGCTTTAGATAGTGGATTGGCTATCAAATCAACATCCAACTCAATAATAGATGGAATTGCCTCTATGAGGTGGCCTATCTTGCTTGAATCATCTCAAGTTTACTTACCCCGTTCGTTTCCTCTTAGCATGGCTAAGATATTTTGTGGATAGTGCAAGACTTACTACTTGTGCTTGTTTCCTCACTCTACCATTCGATTAGCATGTTAACATTATTGTAACGAAACAATCTAGAATTTTTTGTTATCGCAGATCACATTTGTAGTTTCATCTGAAGAAAATATTATTTTCCTGTTCAGGAAACTCTCCCCAGATCATCTTTGGAGCTGGTTCAGAAGAAAATAGCTGCTGCTTTCTAACATTAGCGGGTTTGGGAGCCCCTTTGTAAAGTGAAGTTATTTTTCATTGGAATGTACATCTTTGATCTTTATAACTCGCTTGAACTTTGTATCAACGTCGAGTAAATGATCAGAAAATGTTTTTTTGACTCTCCTTTCCTGATTCCTTTTGTTATCTTTACATTTCTTTCTATCAATGAAAAATGCAATTCAAGTCCATCACTGCAAATGCAAAGATAGGCACTGTTCCCCTTTCTTCGTCCTTCCTTTGTCAATAATTGGTCTCTGGGGGTCTATGGAAGGAGACTTTAGACTAACCACAATCCAAGGCAATGTGATATTTCTAAAAAACATAATATTAAAAAAAGTAAGTATTTCATGTGTTTTGTTTTCCGTGTTTGTGTTGCGTTGTACGAAGTTATCTTGGATTTAAACCCGATCCATTAACTGAACGTGTTAAGATATATGAATCTGTTAGCATAATTATCATTTCATGTCACTGTCGTGTTAAAATGTGTTTCACGAATAAACACTAACGTGACCCTTTACAAAACACGTGCTTATTGTGTGAATGCGTTACAGATACGCTAAGATACGACTCAACTTGAGCTCTTAAATTTTTTTGAAGAATCATGGAGCCGTGCTATTGTGTCGTATATAATTTTTATTCATCTGTGTATCAGTGCAAAAGTGGTCCATCGCTTATAAAACATAGTAAATAGAGTGTCTACACGTTTTGAAAATTGGATGATTTTTAACCAAGCACACCATTTTTAAGCAATTTGCACTAGTCTTTCTTTGGCTTTTGTTGAAGCAGATGGCTCTGTAGTTGTTAGTTCTAAAAAAACATAGCAATTGCAGGGTCCTGCCTTAGGTGCCCAATTTTGCATTGCAAATTTGCAATTTTAAAGAAAGATTTCCCAACTTTTAAGCATTATTGAAGCAATAAATTACAATTCATGTAAATTAGTCTAGCTCTCGTGCTTTCTCCCAAGAAGACAGATTTCCATCACCTTGATTTCCTTTACTTGATCTTCCAGTTCAATATATATGGATATTTTTTATAGCGCATTACAAGGTGAAATCATCCTCATTTTCCAATGAAAATGATGTTTTTTATTTATTTACTTTTTCTAGAAAAAGATAAGATAATTTAGACTAAATTCATCTAAATTACTAAAATTTGAGATTCAACTTAAGTACATAAAGGAAATCACTATTGTTCTAACCAACTTAGCTAAACTCAAATTTACAAAATGAAGTTCAATGGATATATACCACCCAAATAATTTGAGATAAATTTCTTTTGTAAAGAAAGTATTATACTAATACATGATATTTTATTTAAAAAAAACTTTTTAAAGAAGATAACAAAAGGTGGATCTTATTTTTGTCAATTTGCTACAAGGAGTGAGAAGGAAAATCCTAGAGGGAACAATCATTGATAATGTTATCAACTCAAGAAGGCCGATGAAGTTTCAAATGACACAACATCGAAAAGTACTGATGCGTGCTGATATTCTTTGATCAAGTACTTTTCATCCCTAATCCTAATGCATGCTTTCTAGCTTCTAAATATCTTTTAAGCTTGTTTCTGCTGCTTTAATTTCCCTTTCTTATTTTAAAAGGAGGTAGCAAGTCTGGGCCTATTAGACCACAACAAGAAGAAATATTATAGAGTCATGTACGAATTATACTCCTTTTCATATGATTAATGTTTAAAATATTGATATAGATGAAAATTGATATGCAAATATTGGCTGTCTTTGTTGAAAATTTGAAATGGGGTGGATACCTCAACTTATACAGATTTAGTTGAAATTAGAGAAAAATTTCTCAAAAAAGAAAAAGAAAATCAAAAGTTCGAAATCTAGAATGGCTTCTGACAACATTTAGGTAGTTAATCGATATTCATTGATTTTCCTATATATAGAGTGAAGTTTGCATTTCACCTCTTCATTTCACCCCCTTTTCTATATTGATCCTTGATTTTTCGGATATTTCGAAGGAAATACCAACAATTTCATGGATATTGTAAACTGCATATGATGAGTCAACTCTTTCTTATTAAGCGCAGATGTGAGTTATATCAATTGGTTAAGATAGTGTGTCCGTCCTTTAATGTCAAGTTTGAATCATTCTCTAATAAATTGGAGTAGTTTAGAATATAAGATTCTCCCTCAATAAGGGAAATCTGCCTAGAAAGAAAGATATATCCCTTATTTTATAGTAACCTGCCAAAACAAATACATCCATGCAAACCTTTGCTTGACATTCAGACAAGCACTGCCAAACATTACTATCAAAAGGATCAAAATGGATTTCTCCTTGCAAATTTATCACATGATCATAATTCAGAAGGGACCAGGGAATGTCATTGGCAATGATATGTACATGTATATGCATGATTTTGCTCAGGAATGTGTTTTGCCCATTTAGGTAACCGAAGGGACCAGTGAGAACAACAACTAAATCAAGTGGTAGACATAATGTAGTTGGTAAATTTGTACTTCTCCAATGAAATTAGAGGTTCCGGATTCATACCATCTTAGCCGAATCTCATATTTGATGGGAGAAAAAAAACATTGAAATTTACTGAATGTTTTAGTAGTTCCCCAAACATGGCAAACCAGCAGGTTTTTTTTTCTTTCAATTTAGTTTAATTTGAGCAATATAAACCATATTTTTTTATGACCGTACAAATTTTGCATCAGTAGTGTTCCCCCTGCTTCGATCATCTCTGCTACTAGTTTTCCTGTCCAAATCTGCCCCCTCCTTGATAGCATGAGCATGACACACACTCACTTGCTGGAACAGGACATTGGTGGCAATCATGTTCTCGTCTTAATGTATGATTCAATTTCAAATTAGTAAATTTGTGTATGACCAAGTTGGCTAAAACAGTATATATGTTTTTTCCTCTGAACTTAAGCTTGGATACTTCTCTCCTAGTTTCAATTGCACTAGCATACGCTTACACACTTTGTGTATGAATATTTTTATCTTTGTTTTAAAATAGGAATGAGAGAGGGAGATTGAGAGTGGGAAGAGAGGTTTTTATTTTATATTTTATAATACTAGATATATTCTAAAATCACTTGTCGATGAAGCTTCAACAAAAAAACATCAAAATTTGGTTTTGTGAAATTACATTATTGCCCATCAATTTTTTCTATGATAAAAAACTACATAGTATTTTCACCCTTTTTTGGTTGACAAGAAAAGGTTTTAGTAATAGGTAGAATATCTCCCTCCCCTAGTTTTGATTGGTGAGTTTTAAACATAATATAAGATGATATGTCTCACTATAATGTTACTTTAAAAAGAAGTTGACGATTATTAGGAAGAAATGAGAGAGTTCAAAAATATTACAATAATTTAAGGGAGAAAAATTGGAACAGGGAATGTATGAATAGAAACCAGATGCAAAAGCATTATGTGTCCTCATCATGCATGCTGAATGTGTAGCAATTATGAATATGCACAGAAATTATGATCTATGGCTCTTTTCACGGCCACTAATAATTGGAAACCTTACAACAAAAGTTAGGTGCATCTATACATCATCTTAATTATTCATGTTATCCAAAACGAAGTTTACGTTCATCACATATATCTTGCTTATCCCGCATTTTTAGCAAAACCAAGTTACATGACAGATTTTTAATTTGCTCAAAATTTTCAATGAATGTTTACGATGCGTTATATCAAAAATCACAAAGCGTTATATCAAAAATCACATTCTCATGAGGGTAGGTAAACAAAGAATATTTAATCAACTTCTTTTGTTAATTATAAACAAATATTTAAGGGCTTATTTAGAAATGCTTCTAAAATAACTGAAAGTGATTTTGGTGAAAATATTTTTGAAACCAACTCTTAGTAAAATTCAAGTGGATCCTATCCTTGTAAGAAGCACATATTTGATGATTCTTCCAAAAAGCACTTAAAGTGCTTTTGGAACCCAAAATCAATTTTACCAAAAGCACTTTCAGTCATTTTAAAAGTACTTCCAAACTAGCTCTAAATTCTTCGGAGATGTGACTTACTATATATTTGCCTTCTTTTTTGTACGTATCTGAGTCTGAGTACCTAGCTAATCAGTTTACTTGAGCCCGTTTTGCAAATATATATATATATATATATATATATTTATTTTTTTTAAGCTTTTAGTTTTTGTTTACATTTTTGTGAAGAACTGAAAAATTGTTTGGTATTTGTTTTCAGTTTCCAAAAAAACAATTGAAAACCAAAAAAAATGAAAGCTACTTTTGTGAGTTTCTAAAATTTGGCTTTATTTTGATTGAAAACTGAAAACAGTAAGCAATTATCAAATAAGTTTTTCTGTTTTCACAAAAAGGGAAAACTAATGAACTAAACAAGTTTTAAATTTTTAAAATAGTTACCAGGGCAAGTTGTGAATTGTCCTAATAGTTAATTTGAACCTTGCTTTATAATTTATTAGTGATTTAGGTGGTCATGTATGATGCATAAAATTGGACAATTAGTACTTCTAATTTATTGTTTATATCCAATCTATGTGACATTACAGGCGATAATCTAACTGGATCGGCTGCTCCAACTTTTATACGTTCTCATGGCATGAAGCTATGTTATCGTCGTCTACCGCAATGCTACTGTAGCACTTTTCCTCGCTCCTTCTGCTTTTGCTTCTTGAGAGGTTACTAGATAAAAGCCTAAATCTACAATAAGATCAATTAATTAAGGAAATAGACAAAAATAAGACATTTTCTTAATCTAGGGATAGAAATAAGATTTTTTTTGAATATGCACACGACATGCACACACCATGCACAACATTGGATCTAAATAGAATTTTTTTTTACACCGTGAAATGATTTAATTGCCCTCGTATATGAATGAGTTATTTCCTCTAATTTTCTAATTTTTTTCTCTCTCTCTCTCTCTCTCTCTCTCTTATTTTCTCCCTTACACACTCTCTCTCCCATTCGCACTGTGCACACACAAAGCCTAGTCTTCCTGACCAACACCGTCCAAATGAAGCCACCACCAATTTCATCTCGTCCTCACGGGTCCAAAACACCTAGCCTTGTCACGAATCTCATCCCTAATCGTTAGGATCGAAACTTAAGCATGTTGCAAGTTTTTCGGCAACATGACAAACAATCGAGG